AGTAAAGATCTGAGAGGTAGTAATTTTTGAGGTAGTATTAGACATTAGAGATAACCGACTGGAATCAAAAGGTGTAGAACAAATGAACGTAGAGTTAAAGTAATTACCGAAAGCGTTTACAATATCTAAAGGAGTCGAGAGTTCGATATCATCTATATCATACACCATGAGACCAGGAATTCTGTAAGTACATTTTTTGACTTGGATGAAGGGCCAAAACTTTTTTGGATCTGTAGAAATTGATGGTTCAATATTCAGCTGCTTCGGCAACAATATTCTTAAAGGAATCTGGCTGTTTCTTGTTAAATGATATTTGTAAATCATTCAATTTTGCTTCGAAATCAGTTTTTAAGTTGGTGATAGTTAATTAAATCTTTCAATTGTGTTATATAGTTACTGCAGTGAACGCAAACAAATTTGATAGCTTTTGATTTGGCTCTAGTCCATTTCGCATCGTTTTCGGACATCCCGACACATTTTAAGTGTAAAGGTTCCGGACATACTTCAAGAAAAAGATTAGGAAAAACACAATTAGCTGTTACCAAGAAACGATGGAAACTTATTTTCAACTAATTTCTACGGTAAGATACAATGAATTTTTATGTAATTTTACCATCCAATTGATGATGAGATGAGCCTTAAAATGACACCAAACTCAACAGATAATCTTGACAATAATCGTAGTTATTAAGCATAAATTTAACACTACAAAACACAGTGATAATGCACACTTATCTTAAAAACAAGTATAACTAGATTAGAAACTATTTGGCTGACCTTCTATGCATAATGGATATAGTAGAACAATTGTATAAACGATCGGAAGATACCCTGGGGAGACTAGGTGAAATAGAATAGTTACGTTACAAAAAATACCAGGTACCAAGAACTTAAACTTACAAGTATTACAATGCGAAAATATAGAAACATCTTTCAAAATGAAACCCACTGAAATTTCTAATTTTAAATATTCTCATTTAATATCGTGTGCTGCTTCTCCAGGTATAAAAATGTCCCAACAGACAAAAGGAAAAATTATTCTGCCGAAAATTTAGAAAAACATAATTCGTTATGCAAATTTTAACGAAAAATAGGACGTTGCGTAAAATTTATTTTTCCAAAAATTTGCATAAAGCGCCTATTTTGCCATATTTAAGGCCTAAATTTTGGCTTCTTTTTAGCCTAAAATCCGCTTTACAGATTAGTTAACGTAGAAATGAAATCACTCAGAGTTAAAACTCAAATACAGTTGGTGTCATTTTCTCTAATTAGTAATTAATTTTTTCTATATTTGGAAAAAATCTTCTTAGAATTAAAAATAGCAAAATTTGTGTGATTTGACTATTGAGAGAATTAAGGAGGAAGTAAAATATCACTCAACAATTTTGATTTTTTGAAGCCTTTGAATTAAATAAGATTGTCTCAAAGTCGTCCGCGCACATTTTCTAATCAAAATTAGAAAAAACGTCAACTACTATATGTGGCATATAGTTTTTCTACACTATTTAATTTTAATTTGTAATATTTACAAGTCCAATAAATGCTTCCAACAATCTCATTTTTTTGATGTGCTACAGCTCCATTTTTACCATCAAATCTCTCCATATTTTCAACCCAAAACATATAAAAAAATGTGATATTTAAAAACGTTGAACCAAAAGCTCGTTAACCGTTACTACTCATTTGAAAAATGTCTTGCACAAAACGAAGCCGAGTGAAATTTAGTAATTACGAACATTTGCAGGTGTTAAACGAGCCGCCGTCCGTAATCCCTCGGAAGCGAGTTTTTGAGCTCGTCAGAATTACGAATTTTTGCTTTTAAAATATTCCCGTTTTAATTTCCGCGTCGACCCTTCGGTTGTTTGCTGAAGAATCCGGGCTCGGAGCTGGCTCTCATTCATCGCCTCCTCCGTCTAGAAAATGTTATAATTGACACACGAGTTGGAGGCATTCGAAGTAAATATTTAGCATACCAAGCAAGCGATGAAACAATTTGCTTTGATGGTATTTAATTTAAGATATGGTGTTTTGTTACTGCGTTTAACAGGTGCTCTTTTCTTTTGATCTGAACACTTCGGGGCTGGAATTAATTAAACACAAATAATAATACGAAGCCCAAAAAATCCGACAAATTTCATTACTATAAATTAAGTGTTGAACTCAAGCGGCAACTTACATTAATGAGGGGGTTAAATTCGCCCAAATGAATTTAAATATTCATGGCAGCGGTGCATAATACGAAATTATAATTTACGAAGCGGCAATCATGCCGCCAGTTATAATAAAGTGGTTGCTCTATGCTACTTGCTCCGTGCCTTTGCGTTTATTGATGATTTAATTCCCCTTTTAATATCAATAATGCAGAGCTTTGTTTCGACAGTTTTTTCGACGTTCTCAATACAACATGACAACAAATTTTCTTTTATTTATACTGTTACATGCGACTCTATAAACAAATTACAGTAATTATTTATTGTATACGTTGTAATACTTTAATTTCATCGATGGTCGAAGATATCCGAGCGTGTAATAAACGTAGAAGAAAGCCGCACTTTGCGTGTGTATTAAAAATTCCTTTTTGAGAATAATGAAACTAACCGTGTCAGATAAATATTTTATATGCGAATAGTAAATCTAACTAGATACTCTGAAAGAATATATATCACTGTGAGGACATGACATATCATCACAAAATTTAAAAAATTACATTATTAAAATTAATGAATTTATCGGATGTTAAAATTATTTGTTCTTTATGTTACATAGTATATTCAAGGTAGCTGAGACTAGAATGTTGCTTTCCCTTACAATTTTCTGTCTCGCACTCAGCAAGCTCCATCCAAGTATTCCACGAGTGCACATTAGACACTTTTGTGGGAGTTTTGTACACTATTTTTTCGACGACCACTCCAAACATGTTCCTTAAACCACATATCTTCTTTATGTAAAGTATTCGTATGTCTAACAATTATTTTTTTTATTCTCATATTTCGATAAGTAAGTAAGACATAACCTCACAAACAATCATTATTAATTTACGTTCTTACTTGCGTTTGATGATGTTGGATATCCGAAATTATGTCACGCTATAAATAGACACAAGAAACAAGAAAATTGGTTTTGTTCTTAATATATACTTAAATAACTCAATAAATCAAAAATAAAATTTGTCTGTTCATCCCCATTACGAATTTGATGACGTCATTTCAAAGATTTGCCAAACATTTTAAGAATTATCTAAAATATGCAAAATAATATACATACTTCCTTCTACACATACAGCTTCTTAAGTTATACTTATTTTTTACTGTTTACAAGCCACATCAGAGAAATTAATTAAAGAAACAACTTAAGTATTTCATTAAAATTATAAATGTTACAGATAGAGCCTAACATGTTCTCTAACTTATATTTAATTATGGTTGTCATTTATTTTGGGCATAAGAGTTTTGGTACAAAAACATAAAATTTGCAGATTTAGATTTTATAATTTATTTAAGAAACGACACGATATATTTATAGTGAACATTGTGTTCATTAAAGCGGACATGTTCTAATTTCACCATCGCTGTCGCTGCAACGAGGTTTCACTGTACTATTCATGATCCAATATAACACCAGGAAAAAAACACAGGTGCTTTCCAGAATCCGTAAAAACCGCTATTCCACCCTTTCCGTTCTAATTAGTGTTCTAATGTGACTCTGTTAGTTAAGCATGACACCGAACAAACTATGCTGTTATTCCAGTATCCCACTGTTTATGCATTACTTTACACAAAACACGCCTTACACACACAAATTAAATTGCGCCTAATATCGCCCTTAATTTTTTCTGGTACAATAGAAACAACATCAGACACGGAAAAAAATCCATTTGTGTCTCGATGAATAATTGTCGACACGTCTGAAAACACGAACATTTTAATTTCAGAACGAACAGGAGGAGGGTGGCAAGTTGAACCACCTATGCGATATTCATCATTCGGATTGATGGACACACCTAATGTTTGCCCAGTGTTACCACAACACTACATACAATATGTTGTCAAAATATTAGTACATTCATTCTCAATATTAAACTGGGTGACGCAGATATTCAACCAAGGTGAAAATAAACAAGAGTGTCGACGTTGTTTTTGTGGTTAAAACATCCGTTTTATTTGTGCCGTTTAAATTAAAAGATGGACAAAAAATAAACTGGTGTTCAGACAAAATGAAATTTCGTTTCACTTTTAGGGAAAGTGCGAAAATTGGCCTAGACTAATTAAAGCAACAACATAAAAATCAAAAAAGGCTAAAAATCTTTTTCTTTAACGTTGTAGCCACTTGACAAACACTGCAGTTGATTCTTTAGTTTTGAATAACAATACACTGAATAAAATTATCTTGAAAAATTGAACATATGCAAGTAAAAAATATAAAGAACGAGACAAACAGAGTATGTGACACGTGAGATAAACGCAACTCATATTTATAAAATGTAAATGTCGATATACGATCTAGGCACATTATCAAAATGTAAATGGAGAGCTTGGTTCAGGGAAGTGCCTTTACTTGTTATTCTAATTCTACACTTGAAGTGTTTAATTTTTTGTAGTAACAGAACATCAGAACAGAGAAAATTGACAAAAAATAGACATATTAGATTCGAGAGTTTAAACTTTAAATCATTAATTCATTGACAAACAGCAAGAGTAAAATAGGTCCTAAATAGCTTCCCCGAAGAACACTAGACGATATAACAAAGAACTTAAGTCAGATCGACAACTTGTTCTGAGTGTACTGTGTAAGATGTTAATTACAAAAAAAGCAGAACTGTATATACCATAAGAGTCTAACTTTCTAATTAAAAATTATTCAATTAACTACTTATTATTCAACTGCTTTTTCCAGTGGTAGTAGTTTTATAAATTATTTGGCTACTGAATATTTATTTAAGTTATTAAGTTTTAGTAGTTGTTTAGTATTAAACATATTTCTTATAGAAAAATAAAACTCACCAGTTGCAATTCATCTTCTTCACTCCAAAAAACATCCTGAAACAAATAATACCTGATTTAATAATATTCTCTGAATTGGCAACATTAAAAATGTATTCATTTATTTTTTCATTAGGTCATGACTATTAAACAATGTGTCAATTCGCCAAGGAAACCACCTGCTGTAATTGTAGTTTTGGTGCTTTCTTTTCAATATAGGTATTACCTCTCTATATTAAAACTCTATCGATCACCCCCGTTTTACCGAAAAAGTTTTGGATCATACGGTACTGAAATTTTTAATTTTGATTCTTTTATTTTCAAAATTTTATTTTATAATTTTTCGAAGAATCTACATTTTGTTCGCCTGTACTTCACGAGCAAGGCAAGTCCTGTTTAAACAACTTTTGACCAATTTTTTCCACTGGCGCAATTTAACGTCTTCATTTGAAAAATTCATCGAAATTAAATTATTTACATTGACAGTCTTACTTGGCAGCTACGCAAGTTATTGACAAATCTTTTTGTGTTCCCGTTCTTCCCACCTCGTGTTGTGTGTGAACAACTGAGCAAGTTTACATATTAAATCAGGTTTAAGATGAAATGTAAGCTTACGTTACAGTTTTGGTCATCTGCAATTAGAGATTCAGGATTTCAACTCTGTAGGAATAATACGAAAATTATTCCACGATGACAAATGTCAACTGTCTGTCAAATCTGAGTTATTCTACATTATGTAGTCAGGAATACCAACCCCCAAAACGATGCTTTAAGAGAGTAGAAATTAGTCCACAAAGGATAGAAAAGCAATTTTTTTAAGATGGTTCATCTAAACTAAACAATAATTAATTTTACAATATATTGAATCACTCAGAAGACATTTTGGCACCTTTTATACTCGTAAAACTACTTGATAATGATAAATTAGGGATGAAGAATTTTCAACAAAATGAAATCACATCCCATGCAGCTGTTCTTTAATTACTTTCTTGAAAGAGTTTTTTTGTAAATGTTTCATCAGTCGATCCACAGAACATCTCTGGACTTCAAGGTGTGTTCAAGATGTTACAACCTCATGAAAAAATTAAAGCGAAGGATTAACGTTCAATCAATCCGGCAGCGATTTTCTCTTTGGGTTTTGTAGGGAGGCCAGTCATGAATCTAAACCTGTTTTCGGAAATGTTATTCAGTTGCCATTTTGAAAATAATAGCGGAATTATTACTTCGCGAGCGTGAGCAAAGGAAGTATTGTAATCGAGTCCGTTGGCCGACTTTCTACTTTTACGTTTTCTCGACCTTGCATGACCCCTAGAATACAAAGAAATAGGTCTCCAGTTTACGTCTATCTGTCCGTCTGTCTGTCCTTCTGTCCTTCTGTCCGTCTGTTCGTCTGTCCGTCTGTCTGTCTGTCGTCGCAAATTTTTATTCGACATATAATCTCCGAAAGTACTAGGCCGATTGTTGTCAAATTTTGTATTTATGTTAGGAGTATCATGTAAATGGTTAAACGCTAACCAAAATTTGTCTGATCATACCCACCAATAATGTGATGACGTCACTTCAAAATTATACATAGTAAATGGATTTTAAATTGCATAAAATAACTTGGTCCTACACATGTAATTTGTGACTCCGTGTTGCGTTTTTACACGAAACATCCAAATTTTTGGAAAAAAATCAAAATTATAAAACAAACTTTTGCAATTTAACTTTGAATCTGCAAAACCGAATTCTTTGAAATATATTTACTTATTCCCCCAAAAAATTGATGACGTCAACTCAAAAGTTTGACGAATAAATCCATGTGATGTAAATGTTCAAAATATGATGAGTCTGTACTTGTGATTTATCCTGTCATTAATATTTTTTGGATTTGTTTACAGGGTGACTAAAAAAATCATGAATGCGTGAATTCATTTTATTGATTTAATCAGGAACTACACAACCGGATGCTCTGAAATCTTGCAGACATTTTAAAATTATTATGAGTATGGTAAATTGGTAATCAAAATATATCTGTTTAATCCCCCCAAAAAATTGATGACGTCATCTCAAAATTTGGCCGAATAAATTCCACCCAAAATGTGGAAAATTTGATGAGTTTTTACTTGTGATTTATCACTACATTCATTTTTATTATATCATCATATATAAATTTATTTTATTGATTTAATCAGGAACGGCTCACTCCTTTTCACAGAAAATTTTGGGAATACAATACTGTTATATTTAGTATTACGTTGCACCAATCCAGGCTGATACACATGCAAAAATGTTGATGACTTGATCACAAAATTGTGTAAAGAAAAAACTCAACTTAAAAATACTCGATGTTTCATTATACTTTAAGTCCGAGAAAAATTCTGTCTTGCTACCAATTTTTTTTCCATCTAACTTCGTAATCGTGAGTCAAACAAAAATACTATGAAGAAGATGTTTGTAGAAAACATAATAATCTACAACTGTTACTTCCCGACCGATGTGTCGTATGAATATCGTGTAGATAGCAGAACTCTAACCAAATTTGTCTGATCATCCCCACTAACAACGTGATGATGAATGAAAAGAGTTTTAAATTTTATAACATCACTTACTCTTATATACGTGAATCAATGTTGAGTTTTTAGACATTCAGATTTTAGAAAACAAAAAAAAAAAACCAAAATTTTGCAATTTAATTTTGAAACTGGAAAACTAAATGATCTGAAATCTTGCAGATGTTTTAACACTGTCGTAAGCATGGTCAATTTTTAATGATAATATATTTCTTTGCCGTCCAAACCCCAAAAATTGATAACGTCATCTGAAAATTTTTTCGAGTAAATCCGATCTAAAATCTGCGAAATGTGATGGGTTTATACTTGTGATTTATCACTGCATTCATACTTTTTTGGATTGCTTATACAGGTGACTCAAAAAAGGGAACGAATGAGCCAATTTATTTTATTGATTAAATCAGGGACGGCCTATTCCATTTGTTTGAAAATATGGGAATATAATACTGTTATTATTAGTATTATACTGCATCTATCCATACTGATATACATGCCCTTGGATTTGGTAATGGTAATGCGCTCTGACTAGTTTTCTCGAAAATCTGAAAATACGCACATTTTTATATAATAAATGATAAAATAAGAAATATTCGGAGCCTTGTGTTCGATTGTGGGTTAATTAATAATTTTAGTCCTCATTAAAATCAAACTAATTTCTACGTGACGTTCTTTCGATGTGTAAACATAATTAAACACTTGAACTTCAGATTGCTATTACCTAGTGCTGAAAGGACATTTTATCCCGTTGGTTATGTGCTTTACACATATTTTACATTATCTGTACTGCAGGGGTTGCGCCGTGGGAGCAAATAAGATTTTATAATTTTTTTAATGAAACTGGATTTATAGAATTATACTTCAAGGGTGAGGGAAGTTCTGTTGAAATAACCTTCGAACAACTTTTTTAACTTATTATAGGAGTTGTCACAAAAAAATTAAATTTCACCAAATTTATTTTTAAAGTTTTTCAAGAAATCTGTAGTTATTGACCTGTACTCCGGGGGTGTGGAAAGTACTGTTTGAATAACTTTAGACCAATGTTTATTGAATAATTTTCAGACTTTATTATAATTTTTAAAAACCTTCACTTTCATTCTATTGAATCCACATCTACGTTTGGAAAGTTAAAACTCTTGTAAAATTCTAGAAGTCACAAAATATTAAACCAAACGAACTTGTTTCGTGCAAATTTCAGTTTCAAACCATATACTCCTCAGTCAATTTTCAAAGGCTTAAAATACAGTATTAATTCAAACATAGTAAATTTCTAGAATTTATCAGAAACGTGAAACAAATACGAGAGCATTAAATATGCATAAGTACTTGTTTCTCCAAAAAACAAAGAAATATCTTTTGTATATTGTTTTTAATGTATGTGCTTTGTTCGTTCTTACGCAATTAATTAACCACAATTCGCCCATTAGCCACGTTACTTCTTGTCCCATTTCAATTTACTATAACGCTGAATTTTAATTAATTCAATGTTTTATTTTTCTTAGGCATCGACTCACCCTCCCATATACGTCTACAACATAAGTATCGAATTTAATAATAACTTCTTTTTGTAGTGTTGAAAATGTCAGAGTTAACTTGCGTCAAAATTTTCCCTTCCTTAATTTTACTATTTTCGCGTTCTTAATCCTGTGTTATTATTGATACGCCAACAATGGTCATTACAAATTTTTTGGCCGACCCAAAGTAAAGGAGATCAATCAAAAAAATTATTGCACTTTGATTTTCAAGATGGCGACCAAATGACAACCCAGTTTTGAAAACTCAAATTTACATTCACTACCGACTCTTCCACAAAAATCCCTAAGAAATTGCTGCCTACCCAAAATGCACGTTTTTACGTCGGATTTATTGCACTATTAGACAATGCAACAATTAACGAAATTAATGCAACTCCAAATACGTTACACAATATTATTTATGTAGTTAGATGGCGAAACTGATAAAAATAAAAATTGAGGAACATTTTCAATATTTACTGTAGCATGTTAATAAAATAAACCTTCTCAAACTTTATGTGTTCATTCCTTTGTCCTGAATCATACAAAAACAACATTTACACAAAGAGACCTTTCAGAATCGATTTTTCCAGCTTGACACCAATTTGGAATCAATCGATATCCCGAGACAGCATTTACAACCTATTCTCGCTTGTAACGTCACTGATGAACGTCACAGGATAAAGGGACGCATCTTGAAACCTCTACCTTCATATGCGCCACATTTTTGAGTTTTCGCGTCACTGTGAGTTTACCAAAGAGCCTAAAGATGTTACCTTTGAAGGAGACAAGGAAACATACGTAACTAAAAATCTCTTACCAGTGATAATAAAACTTAGTATGACGTTTTTTACCTCGTCTATCATACATGATTGCCACCATTTCATAACCTTGTTCAACCAAACAGTGCTCGCAATTATTGGCGTGCTTAAATAAGCCAGTCCAATTTCCAAATTGTGTCGGGTTACATCTCTTCAACCGCAAGAGCCTT